ATCCTTTGGGTTGGCAGTACAACTCCTTATTCCCAATGCCACCAGAATGATAGCTTTACTGAATTCATCCACATGGACTATGCCATATTTACTGATGAATATTCTCCAGATTATTTCACCAAAACCTCACCTGTATTACCTATTTAAAATAAAATAATAGGGGTGGTGCAAGTAGCCAAGTGCTGAATGACTGATGGTGTAAACCTACCCAAAGGCTTCTCAGAAGTAAGACCAGGTCATGTGCTCTCAAAAGGTCACAGCTTTGAAAGCTTTATGATAGATTTTGCCCCTTTGGGGTTGCCCTGAGTTGGAATAAACTAGATGACAATTAATAACAAGTGTTACTTGAAATGGTTTTAATACCTTTTGACATTCTAAAAAGATTTTGTTTAGTATTAATTTTGCTACAACTTTTCCACAAATATTTCCCTGCTTTTAGATTTGTCAGTCCAACTTTGTGGAATATCAGTTTTAGAATCACTTCTCAAAGGACTAAAATAATACTATTAATCTAATTGAACTGGTTAATAAGTATTTATGTTTGGGAAGGTACAAAAAGGCAGCAGGATAGATTGAAAATGTTTTGAAAGACTTAACTATGTCCTGGATTTTTATGAAATTGTAACTCAGCATCTAACCCAAGCCATGGTATTTTTAATTGCTTCATATGCATTAAAATGAATAAGAGAGAAGAATTGATGCCTTTGAATTACAGTGTTGGCAAAGAATATTGAATGTGCTGCCAAAAACACTTATTGCCGAAAAAAAAAAATATATATATATATATTGGAAGAAGTGCAGCCCCTTAGAAGCAAGGGAAGTGAGACTTGCTCTCACATAATTTGTGAATGTTATCAGGAGGGGGCCAACCCGTGAAGGAGGAGATCAGGCTTGGCAAAGTAGAGCATCAGCGAAAGAGGGAGACCCTCAGCAGTTGATGGCATTGTGGCTGGGACAATGGGAAGTAGGTACACCCGAGATTGTGAGGACGGAGCAGGACTGGGGCAAGGTTTTGTTTTCTTTGTCATCAGTTTTTTTATGATTTAGACTTGAGTGGACAGTGCTTAACAGTATGCTCAGAAGAATTTGCAATTACCTCATATTCTCAAGGAAAAAATTGGGTATTCAAAATGCTCTGAAATGTGGCCAGCATAAACACCTGCATCCCAATAGCTAAAAGCGAAATGAAGACAAAATTGACGCAAGTAAATGATCAGAGCGTCACAGATATTTCCAGAAGCTTTGCTTTTGGAACTTTAAATTCATGTTGCTAAGGCAAAGAACTCTCTGTTTGCTCAACTGTGGTTTAAACCCACTCAATTTGCATGTTATTGTAATGCTGGAAGCTATACGACTGTACTGGCAGGGTTACCTGACAGACAGGCAGGCAGGCTTTAGCTGAGCTTGCAGACAAGCTAGGAAGAAAGGCCTGGGAATCTGCTTTAGAAAATTAGTTAATGGGGAACTCTGGTAGCCTAGTGGCAGGAAGCTGCACTACAATCCCAGAGGTATGTGGTTCGAATCCACCAGATGTTCTGTTGGAGAAGGAGGGACAATCTCCTTCTGTACCAGTCAGATCCGATTGGGCAATACACACATAAAAGTAATAAAATTATAAAAAGAAAATTAGTTAATGAAAACCTTGTGTATCACAGTAGAATATTATCTAACTCATTTGGTTAGAACGTAACTGGAGGGATAAGTCTCTGATGAAGGACATCATGTTTGGGGAACCAGAGAGCCAGCAAGGGCAGAGGAGATGGATCAGCACAAGAGCTGTAGTGATGGACTTAAACATGACAGTGACCATGAGGACGAAGCACGGCGTTTGATTATGTTGCACAGAAGATTACCCTGTGTCACAGATGACAACAGTTCAGATCTGTAGTTCACAGGGTTGCTATGAGTCGTACTCAGCTTGATGGCACCTAACAACAGCAACATCTATTGATCTAAGTGTCTTGGAGAGGGTGAAAGCAAGTTTCTCCTTGGAGGAAACGATCTTGAAGCTCCATCTCACATACTTTGAGCATGTTTGCCAAGAGGGACCAGTCCTTGGAGAGGGACATCATGCTTGGAAGAGAGGAGGGACAACATGGGAGAGGAAGACCCAAGATGAGATGAACTGACACTATAACTGGGGTACTGAGAGTAGGTGTGTCGGAATCAGTGAGACTGTCTCAGGATAGGGCAGGGTTCAGAGTTACTGTACAGAGTGCTCATACATAACCTATACCCAGAACAGAAAGCTGTTGTACAAACAGAGCAAGAGAACACTGCGGGGGTTCAGAATCAAGAAAGGTGTGTGTCAGGAATGGATCCTTTCGCCATATTCCTTGTTTGTTGTTGTTAAGTGCCATCAAGTCAAGTACTATTTATAGCAACCCTATGAACAACAGACCTGAGTCCTAACCTATCCAGTGCCATCCTCATAATCTCTGATATGCTTGCACCCACTGCCGTGTAATCCATATCAAAGGAATGAGTAACACTGAAGGTTCAAATTTAAAAAGGTGTGTGTCGGGGTTGTACCCTTTCTACATACCTGTTCAGTCTGTGTGCTGAGCAAATCTTTCGAGAAACTGGACTCTGAAGAAGAATGTGGCATCAACAATCTGCATTATGCAGATAATGTAACCTTGTTTGCTGAAAATGAGGAGGACATGAAGCGCTTGCTGCAAATCAAAGAATACGGCCTTCAATATGGATTACATCTCAACATCAATAACAAAAATTTTACTACTGGACCAGTCAGCAGCATCATGACAAATGGATAAAGGATTGGAATTGTCAACAATTTTATCTTATTCGGATCCACAACACTCTTGGTACCAGCAGTTAGGAGACATAGTGCTTTGTGCCAATCTGTTTTCAGGACTGCTCCAAATTACTGAGGAGTAAGGATTGGCATCCACTTTCTAAATAACATGCCTCCAGAAACCGTATGAACTTTGATAAATGTTGATAGTTGTAGAGGGGCTTCAGGCCTTTTGTACATAGGGTCATTGTGAGTTGTGCTCGACTCAAAAGCAATTAACAACAACAACAACAGTTATGTCAGCTTGTAGAGTAAGGTGTACCTGATTCAAGCCATGATCTTTTTAGTCACTTGCTATGCATCTGATAACTGGACAATGAATAAGGATTACAGATGAAGAATCGATGCCATTGAGCTGTGGTATTGGAGAAGAGTACTCAATATTTCATGGAATGCCATAAGAACAGATACATCTTGGGAAAAGGACAATCAGAGTACTCCTTGGAGACAAAGATGGCAAAGCTTCATCTCACATACTTTGGGCATATTCCTAGGAGAGGCTGTTCCTTGGAGACGGACATCATGCTTGGAAAAGTAGAGGGTTAGTGAGAGGAAGATCCTCGGCCAGATGAGTTGACATGGTGACTGCAGCAACGGGCTCAAGTCTATCAACTGATAATGATAACACAGGATAGGACAAGGTTCAGATCTGTTGTTCATGGGATTGCTGTGAGTCATGCTCCATTAGACCTAACAACACAACAACAAATGAATAACAGAATGGAAGCTCTTTTAGGAGGTTGAAGTTATGCTGCACATGCCTAATCTTGTCTGTCTTCTTTTAATAAAAGTTTATAGTCATTTTTATAAGCCATTCTAGCTACCAGCTTCTGTATATAAACAGCAGACAAGCAGACAAGAGAAATGAAGAAAAACAACACCAGATTGAGCCGATTGAAGAACCAAAGGATAAGTGCTTTGTAAGAAGTGCTTTGAAATCCTGTTTATTCCAGAGTGAGGCTGCACACTGGTGTTCTTTGCTTGCCTCTCGTTCTCTCTTGAGACTCTCGGCTCCCAGAGATTGTATTGAACTCTACATCCCCGGTGCCCACCACCATCTCTCTCCCCGCAGTACAGCAGTGGGACTATTCAAGAGACTGGAAAAGTGTGCCCCTCTTGATTTCCTGACTGCCGCTACCATGGGTGTGTATTGTGAACCCACGTAAAAGGAAATCGCTGACAACTTCACTCTTTTCTCTATCTAGCATGATGCAAGTGGGTGAGATTGATAGGTGATAGGACAAACAGGGTAAAATGTTAACGGTAGAACCTGCATAATGAGTGTTTATTATTAAATTCTTTAGACTTTTTATATGTTTGGAAATTTCCATAATGTTGAAGGAAAAAATATTTCATTTTAAAGCTACACAGTAGCAGTTTGATCTTTGTAAAATATCCTTTTTCTCTCTATAATAGAAATAAAAAGCTGACTTTGCCTATTTTCTAATTATATTTGCCTATTTTCTATTAATGTAAGAAAGTAACTTGAAAACAGTATGCTATTAAGTAAAAGTAATAAAATATTATTTACTCCTTTGATAATTTCAGTATCTGTTCTCAAAGTATTATGCTTTGTGAGTTTTAGTGTAATGAAATAATCTTATATATATATTTGTGTTTTATTGACTGCAATTCATAACAAAATTGGTTTTGTTCATGCAAAACGTTTGTTGTTTTTTTTTTTGTTTTGTTCTGGAATAACTAAGACTTTTTATTTATTTATTTATTTATTTATTTATTTATTTATTTATTTATTTATTTATTTATTTATTCTTTTTATGTGTGTACCGTCAAATTGGATCTGACTGGTACAGGAGGCAATTGTTCCTCCTTCTTCAGCAGAGCATCTGGTGGATTTGAACTGCGCACCTCTGGGATTGCAGTGCAGTTTCCTGCCACTAGGCCACCAGAGCTCGCCAATAGCTAAGATTTTTTTTAGCTCAACCTTTTTTTTCGTTCTTGTTAATGAAATAATCTTGGAAATGTCCAGTTCTTCTTGACGAATGGAAGAGAGTGTTCTGCTTGGCTTCCTCAATGAGAAATACTCCCACACAGCCTTCACCTCTCCAGTTCACTGATGGGTCTCAGTTCTTAGGAAGGCCATTGTCTATAAAGGTATATGTCTGAAAGGAGTCAGAGGAAAAGCTCCAAAATAAGCATATAAATCTGTTTTCTTTTTCAGGAAGTAGTAGGGGACACATTAGAAGAACTGTGGATCTCTTATAATTTTATTGAGAAGTTGAAAGGAATCCAGGTAATGAAGAAATTGAAGATTCTCTACATGTCTAATAACCAAGTAAAAGATTGGGGTAAGTTGAGCTGGTTCTTAGCTAGCCTCCTACCTCCTGCTTATGGAAAATAGTCCAATAAGAAAAGGGATTCAGAATAGGAACAGTTTTTGGTAAACATGGAGAGAAATAACTATAGGAGTTATTGCATTTCTGCTAAATGCATAACACATATTTAAATAGTATAAAAAATTCCTGCTCATTGCTGTTGAGTCAGGACTCACAGAGAATTGACCCTCTTGCAGGTTTCTGCGGCTGTAAATCTGACAAGGGGGGATTTTTTTCATTTTTTCTTTTGTGGAGCTAGTAGTGGATTTGAACCTCGGCCTCTGGGTTATCAGTGCAACTCCTAAGGACTAGGCAGGCCTCCAGAGCTCTATAAATTTACTTAGAAGGAAGAAAATGACCTAGGCGTTGGCCCTATTACAAACTGTGGAAAAAATGGCAAAATTTTCAGCCAAAGGCTGAAAAGAGCCAATTTAAATTTAATAATCCTTGCTATTAAATGTGACAAGTTATTTGATACAACTTTACTTTTTCTGGAGGAGGGGTGTCAGTATTACTTCTTGTTGAGCATATATAAACCAAAAAATACAACAGTTCGACAATGTCTGCATGTACACTGTTGATTATTTAGTGACTGATTACATTCTTTGGGTTGTATAATCATTCTTACTCCTTATTAATTTCCCTCCCATACTGACATAAATGTATTGCTCCCTAAGGTTCTGATCTAATTTTTCAAGTTGCTATTATCAATTTGATCCCATATAGGTGAACTTTGGTGGCCTAGTTGCACTGCCATCCAAAGTCAGGCAGTTAGAACCCACCAACTGCTTTGCAGGAGAAAGACTGTCAGTCTCTTTCTGTGCAATTTACAGCCTCTGACAACTTGCTAGAGGGTCATCTAGGAGTTGGTTCCTACTTGATGGCAAGGAATAACACAACACACAGTTCTTACAAGAGCATATTCTGCTTTCTAAGGCAGCTGCTGAAGATGGTGGACTCGCAGGTCCTGGTGCTAGCTGGCTGAGGTCATCTCCTGGGTGGCCTGGCGGCCATTGTGGCTAAGCAGGTGCTGCTGGAAAGGAAGGTGGTGGTTGTGTACTGTGAGGGCATCAACATTTCCTGTAACTTCTACAGAAAGAAACTGAGGTACCCAGCCTTCCTCCACAAGCGCATGAACACCAGTCAATCCTTATGTTCCTACCACCTCTGGCTGCAGCCACATCTTTTGGTGGACAGTGTGAGGCGTGCTGCCACACAAGACCAAGCGTGGCAGGCTGCCCTGCACCACCACAGGGTGTCTGATGGGACTCCACCTCACTATGACAAGATAAAGCCGATTGTAGTCCCTGCGGCCCGCAAGGTTGTGCAGCTCAAGCCCACTTGTAAGTTTGCCTGGACGCCCTAGCTCACGAGGTGGGCTGGAAGTAACAACCACCCTGGAGGAAGAGAGGAAAAAGAAGGCCAAGAGCCATTATCAGAAGAAGCAGCGGATCAGGAGGCTGCAAAAACAGGCCGAGAAGATCTTGGAGAAGAGGATCAGCAAGTACACGGAGGTCCTTGAGAGCAGCAGACCCCTGTTCTGAACCCAATACTATTAATTCCTTTTATATAAAGGGCATATTCTCAAGGCAGAGCTGCTTTGCTTTGCTTTTTCTATTGTACTTCATTCATTCAGCAGCTGTGGAAGCCCTGCTATGTGCCCTGTACTGTCTCAGGTTCTTGAGATACATAGTTGAGTATGACACACTCACTGCCCTCAAGGAATTCACAGCTACGGAAGGCAGCCAACCAATGCATTATAAAACTGTGTGATAATTTGCAGAGATTTGAATACACTGTTTTAAGAATTCCAGGATGTGTTGGTGGGAGTGTAAAATGGTGCAACCACTATGGAAGGCTGTACGGCGCTTTCTCAAAAAGTTGTAAACAGAAACACCATTTGACCCAGCAGTTCCACTACTGGGAATTTACCCTAAAGAAACCATAACCTATCCAAAATCTCTGTAAATGTTCATTAAAAAGAAAAATAAAAAAGGAAGAAACTATAACCGAAGCAGATATATGCACCCATGTTTATCATGGCTTTGTTTGCAATAGCAAAGAGCTGGAAACAACCTAAGTGCCCATCAACAAACAAATGGATAGAGAAGCTCTGGTATATTCCCCCAGTGAAACACTATGCAGCTTTGAAAAACAAGGAACTCATGAAATATTTAAAATGGGTGACCCTGGAGAACATTATGCTGAGTGAAATATCTCAGTCACAAAAGGACAAATACTGCATAGAGCCACTGTTGTAAAACAAGACTGACATCAGGGTTGCAGGAGACTGAGAAAGATAGGATAAATTATGTATACTGTATTAAAATAGATGAGGGAGAGAGAGAACTGTTTAAAAGGGATATGTGGTTGGGTATTTTTGTCATGACAGGAGTCCAGAATGATGGCTGCACAGTGGAGTGGACTTGCGGGGGAGGGATTGCATAACAATGAAAGAGTTTTTCTTTTACTTTTCAAGGAGAAGAGTGAATTGTGGGGAGGGGGTGGGCATGGAGAAAAGTGCAACAATGAATGAATCGAAACCCTAAGTCTCTGTAAACTTTCATTAAAATGAATAAATTTAAAAAAATTCCAAGATGGCAGGTTAGTATTCCCCCGTACATAGGCACCACATTTGCTGTGCTGCCTTCTGTTAATATACATTTAGGTGGTTTCCACCTTTTGGCTACCGTGAGTAGTTCTTCTGTGCTGTCAGCTGGCTCTGACTCCCAGCAACCCTGTATGTGCAACAGAATGAAATTGTCCCATCCTCACAGGCTTGGCTGTGCTTATGTCCATTGTTATAGTCATTGTGTCATTTCGCCTTGTAAAGGGTCTCCTTCTCTTATACTGACCCTCCTTTTTCACACATGATGTCCTTCTCTCAGTTCTGATCCATCCTGATAACATGCCTGAAGTATGGAAGATGAGCATTTAGGTTGTTTGTACTTTTTAAAAATCTTATTACTTTAATTATATCAAAACAAGATTTTTTTTGGTAAGGTCCTCTTAGAAGTACTTTGTTTATACTTTGTTCTGCATGATATCAAATAAATATTTTTGACAAAGTATCAGTAGAAATATGTGAACTTTTTGTATGTTTAAACTATATTTTAATGAGATTTATTAGGAGATTTCACGGCTTTTCATATTACCAGCATTTCTGTAACTTTTCAGTTGCAAATATATATGGATTTTTAGAACTGTTCGCAACTTACAAGCTGTGGTGTAGGTGGTACATTATATTTTTTTTTCTTCTTTTAAGTCGCATCTTTTCTTTTTTTTTTTTTATTTTAATGAAAGTTTACAGAGACTTAGGGTTTCCAGTCATTCATTGTTGCATTTTTCTCCCTGCCCACCCCCTCCCCCCAACGCATTCTTCTCCTTGAAAAGTAAAAGAAAAACTCTTTCATTGTTATGCAGTCCCTCCCCCCAAGCTCACTCCACTGTGCAGTCTTCATTCTGAACTTCTGTCATGACAGTAATACCCATCATATATCTCTTTTAAACAGTTCTCTCCCTCATCTGTTTCAATGCAGTATACATCATTCCTCCCCTCATTCTCTGCCTTCCCTCAACGCCAGTGTCATTCTCCTTTTACAACAGTGGCCCTATGCATTATTTGTCCTTTTGTGACTGAGATATTTCATTCAGCATAATGTCCTTCAGTGTTTGCACTTTTTATCTCATGAGTAACACTTTGGTTTCCAAGTCTTTCTTTTTTATCCTCTCTGCTTTCAAGTGTTTTATATACTTAGAAGTACTAGCAGAAAAAAAAAAGAAGTACTAGCAGGAGAAATAAAACGATATATGCTAGAATATGGATAGATCTAACACATTATGCTGAATAAAATAAATCAATCATAACAGGACAACATTATATGTCCTTACTTATATCAAAGAGACCAAACCAAAATATAGAGACCAGAGTATATTAATGATTACCAAGCCAGGAGGGAGAGGAAATGGGAAGCTAATGGTGATGGGAAAATTGCGTTGATTAAGGGTAGGGTTTGCGCAGATTACTGGAATTGCTATCAATAGATTATATACCTCTGTAAAAGGTTTAATTGGCAAAAATTGTGTGCTAAATATATTCACATCAAAAGCAACAAAAATAATAGCTGCTGATGCTGCTTATACAAACACGTCATGGGATTTTTGAAAGTGCAACCTGGTGCTCCTTGGAGGCAAGGATGGTAAAGCTTCATGTCACATATTTTGGGCATGTTGTTAGGATATCATGCTTAGAAGAGTCAGGGAAATAGATGGGTTGACACGGTGACTGTATCAGTGGGCTCAAGTATATCTCTAAGTGATGATGAGGATGGCACAGAAGAGGCAGGGTTCAGATGTGTTGTTCATGTCTATGGTCACGGTGAGTGGTGGTGAGTTTGACAGCACCTAACAACAACAACTGTTCTGAATAACCGCAAACTGAGATGTAGTGATAGTGGAATAATATAGTCCTTAAAATTACAGCAGCCAAAGTTGCCATTTTTATAAGAATTTGTCTTTTTATTTGTAGCTGAATTTGGGAAGCTGGCAGAACTGCCTTGCTTGGAAGACCTGGTGTTTGTAGGTAACCCCTTAGAAGAGAAACATTCTGCTGAGGGCAACTGGATTGATGAGGCAACCAAGAGAGTCCCCAGACTGAAAAAGCTGGATGGTGAGTAACTGAACATTAACTTGGAACCAGCTTAGAGATATTTTCCACAAGAAAAAACTGAATTTGTGGGATGGAATAATGAAAAGAAATACAACTAAACAAAATGTTGGGTGGTCTCTAATTTCCAAAACCACATTCACCCCCATTAAATTTAATAGTGCTGGTTTGGGTCAAGGTGAGAGGAAAAAGTCGACCAAAAACTGGACACAAAATCATTCCTAAACCAAAGTTTGTAAGAAAGCCAGGCTTATCCTAAAGCACAAAGATACTATTTTGTACAATATCTAGACATAAATGATAAGCATTTGTTTTTTCACAGCAAAACTTAACTTTCTTGTTTTCTCCAAGTCTCTCTTAATTTTAGTTTGTCAGTTCCTAAGATCAGTGGCAATGCCCATGGGACATTCCTCACTGACTAGGTTCATGTCCTAGCTTACCATTTAATGGCATTTGTGACCTTGTGCTAGATAATTAACCTCTCTACACCTTTTATACCCTAAAAACTTGGGATGATAATCAACTCAACTCACTGCTGTTGAGTCAGAACCAACTCTTTGCTGACTCCTACTCCGAGCAGGATTCCAGAGGTTTTAAATTGCATGGGGAGAGATTGTGTGTCTCTCTTTCATGCAGTTCCAGATGGATTCAGACTGTCACGCTTTTTGGGTTAGGAGTGCAGCTATCTACGGACTTTGCCACCAGAACTCCCAAGGGGTAATAGATAGTAGTACCATTATTAAAAGTACCATGTTAAGCATAAAGCATAGTACTTAGCACAAAATAAGTATTTGGCAAACATTGTTATAATTATTTAGTAAATTTACTATCAGTCCACAAACACAAGTATTCAAGAGTTATTTCAGTATGAATCAATCTAACACTCACTCCCCCAAATTTCATTTGGTTGGACTGTTAAGGAATTTGCTCTGTTATTCTCAAGATCCCCTGGTGTCATTCAGTCATTCTAGAGGCAAATCATCAGAGAGGCTCCAGAGTCACCTGTGAAGTACTGATTGGTCCTATTCCTAAAGCCCCTTGAGGACTAATGATTGCATGCTGTTTTCATGCTACTCTTAGGTTATAGAAATGCATTTTTGATAGTTAGATTCCTGATGCCTTTTGGGTTGTCTCTTTAGGTAAAACAGTCATTCCTCTCTGGGCTTTACCTCTTCCCAGTGGTGGTATCAAGAAGGCAGCCAGAATTTCTCCTGTTCCAGGATCCAGAGACCTCCCTCTCTCTTTTTTTCCCCTTTTCTTTTTTTTCTCCTCTCTCTCTTATGCCCATTCTTTCTAGTTTGTGGAGAGTCCTCCTCTTCCTCTTGCACTTTCTGTATCCTCTCACATATTCTGTCTTCTCAGTGATGTTTCTAAGTGGAAGCAGATGTGAATGAAGCTAGAATACACTTTTTGAGGGAAGAGTAGTGGCAGTAGAGCACCTGAGGAGGTGGTTCCTGGGGCGCTGCGTTCTCTTCCTTAGTCTGGCCACTAGTTACTAGCTCTGATCACTTGTAAATATTTATTAATGTGTACACTTAAAATTTATGCACTTCGGATCAATAAAAAATTCCTTCTCCCTTGCAAAAGTGTATGTCAGTTGAAGAATACTGATGTTGTGAGGTACAGTGAAAGCTATGCTCACTGCCATTAAAGAATATAAATTTACCTCTAGGAAGGTAGCACAGAGGAAAAGGAATTGAATTTGAGTCTTAAATGAGGATAAGGTGTGGATGGCAGGACAAGTGGGGTGGGTGTTCCAAAATGGAAGAACTTAGTTAACCTAGAATTCAAATGCAAGAGTATGCATGATGAGTTTAGGGAGATAATTAAGAGTTAAGGAAAAGTAGAAGGTGAATGAATGTCTGTGGTATTGAGTCTAGATAGCTACAGTCAAATTATGATAGCCTTTAAAATGCTAGAGGTCAAAAATGAGTGGTCCTTGCCCCAGTTACAATTTAAATCTGCCAAGGTATTTTGTTTTCTCTGCAGTCTTTCCTTTCTTTAAAATAAAAAAAAAATATTATCCTCTGTGTTAAATAATTGGGAAAATGCATAAAAAATGTCATCTCTAATGTTTATTTTATTGTTGACAATTAGTATTTGTGTTGAGTATGCAAAGTTTTTAAATAAGATACTTTCTTTTTCTGTCTGACATCTTAGACATTTAGATCTTTTTATAAATATTGATATTAATCTGCTTGAGAATTCCCCTACATGGCATTCCATAGACTTTGAAATTAAAGAGATTAATTACTTAGTGAAATAAATAAATTATGGCACATAATCGTGGCATGCAGAGCACCTACCAGTTCAGAAAAATATTTTAAGTTAGAATGAATGATCAGAAATAATTTTGTTTTCATTTTAGGTACTCCTGTAATTAAAGAGGATGAAGAAGAAGAAAACTAAAACTCCATTTTTCTACTTCATGTTAATTTATTTAAATGTCATAAGAACAATAGATAAGTTTTGTATAGTTGTCTGTTTTAAAGATTTTATGTGGGTCAAAAAATTCTTAAGAAAACAAACCTTTCCCACTTCGTTTTCCTCTTAACCTATTTACACTTTGTCTCTCTGTATTCGAACATTGTGTCTCTCTCTCTCTCTCAAAATTACACCAACTTTATCTATTCAAGCCTTCTTTTTTAGAAACTACACCTTTTCAATTTCTGTCTTCAGTTCCATTTATATACTGGGTGGTCCTATCTTTTTAAACTTTTGTAGACCATTTTAACAACAAAAGAATGATTGGGTCATTTATTCTGTTTTTAGACCAAACATTTTAAAAGATGTACTTAATGTTTGCCTTGGTAGGCCATTTTTGTTGAAGGTCCATCTCTTTATGACTCAGAAGCACAAATGCCTTTGAATCAGAAGACAACATGGTAATAGGAAGCAGGTAACAGCAGCAGCCCTAGACCCAAGAATCCAAAATCCAGCTAGAAAAGTTATGGTGAAAGTAGAAACATTAGTATCTTGGAGGCTTAATAGCCCATGTAATATTTATTTTTTTGTTTCTCCAAAAATACGTGGATTATCAACTGGAATTGAGGCTGTGTTTAAATGTGTGGCTATTCTAGCCACTGTGCTCAGTCAGTCATTTGGTGATCCAGGTCAGTGGTTAAAATGACTGCCATTATCATTCCTTTTACTAGTAATTTGGTCCTCTTACTCATGAGGCCCTGGCCTTTGGCACATTTTTTGGTCTCTAATTCCTTATGTTGAAGGAGTAACTATATTTGAATCTGTAGGTTAAATGTTGCCTAGATATGTATGTCAAAACTTTCCCTAATGACTTTGGTGAACCTTCTTATTGGGGGAAATTAATGTTATGGTTATAAGGGTATAAAATTTAAGAACTGGACTTGGTATCTTTCAATAATTGAAACTTAGCATTTTAAAATATATTTTTTCAGAAGGTCTAAGTTTAAGCAGCTCTTTTAAATGTATTATGTAAGTGATTGTGTGGAGAGAAGAGGTATTCAGATAACAAGGCGAATGCAATGATTTTGAGGATTGCCTTTTATGTGAAGCACGTAGGTAATTAACTGTAAAACTGCAAAGTGATAGAGGCAAAGCTTAGAATGTATCAAGTAAGAAGAAAGTTTCTGTGGTCTATCTCTTTTTGGAAAACGTACGGCATTGGAGGCAGTAACCAGATGAAGTCCATAGCAGGCCATGGCTGGTGCACTCATAGACTACAGAAAGCAAGCCAAGGTGCCAGATTGTGCCTAAAGTCAAGTAGGAAATACTTGATTTCTGAGTCATTCTGATCAAAAGGGACCACTGCTTTGACAATCAACTCTAAAGAGAAAGAATTAGTCTAACACCCTCTTAGTTTTTCACTCTTCTTAACATTCTTTACTTTCTTCTGATGGACTGATACATTCATTTTGGGCATTTCTTCTGGACACCTTCCTTCCCTTGGTGTCTAAGGACTGTAGGCTGATAAGGAAGATGATGATCTTCCTGGGTAGTTTGCACTTCATCCAGTAGCCACGCTTGAAGCCATAATACTCTCTATGGGTGCATTTTCTGGGATTTATCCTGGAAGTGATTATGAGAAAAGAATGGGGGATTTCATGTTCAATTTATATGTAGCATGGCTTACAGTTTTGGTGTTTGGTTTTTCTGAATTCAATAGTGTAGGAAGTCATTTTCTCCTTGTTTTTTTTAATGTTTTTAATCACTGGTCTGTCTCTCTCTTAATGCCATCAAGTTGAAATTGGCCGTCAGCTAACCTACAGGAGAAAGGATTGCCCTTCTTTTTCCTGAAGAGACACTGGTGGTAGTTCTCAGAAATATAAGAAATACAAATATATGTCTGTTTAATGAAAAAACTATTATTCCTTCCCACTCACCAATTTTATAATGCCTTCTATTCATCTTTTTCATGGAATCATACTATAATCCATGTCATTAGAAAGTGGAAAAGACAGTATATTTAAAAGTTCAGGTTATTCTCTTAAATCACTGCTATTATTAAATTCTTTACTGATGATATTTAAATATCTTAATTTATGCCTCCTAGATATTTGACTGACTAGGAGTATTTTCTTTCTGAGCTCCTGGTTTAAAAAATTACGCTGTTTTAATTGCTCATTTAAATATCTTCTGGTAAGTAATGGCTAGAACTCTGGAATCAATTCAGCATTTTAATTTTTCTTAGGAAATTTAAATTTTCAGGTATTAAGAAAACCACCTTTTCTGTGCCCTCAAACTTCTTTGGCCACTTTACCTGCTAAATCTTGAAAGGATTTTGTGCTGTTAATAAAAGTTTGTTACCTTAAACCAGGGTTTCTCAGCCTTGGCATTATTGACATTTTGTTGTTGTTGTTGTGGATAGCTGCCCTTTGTTCTGTGTGATGTTTAGTAGCATCCCTGGTCCCTATCCTGTAGATGCCAGTAGTACATCTTTCCCAGTTTGACAACTAAAAATATCTTGAGAAGTTTCTGTCTGTCACTGAGGAGTTGAGTAAATTCACCTGTGGTTGAGAAATGCTTTAGACTTTTTACATTAACATTGCTTTTATCCACAGTCCCTTCCTTTTCACTCTGTAGCATCTGCCACCTGAGTTACAGTGTCTGCGAGAAGATGATAGATTTAATAATGATGGATGAAAGGAAATGATCACCGGTGTTTCCTTTTTATATAATGTTCATTTTCCTCAAAACTCAGGGTTGGAAAGCTGAGCTATCCCCCCACCCCCAGCAGTTCTCATCTTTCCTTTCTTAGCATTTTTGTTTATTTTAGGGCAGTGATCATTGACCTTCCTCTCTTAACATTAGCAGAATTCAGTGTTATGGGAGATTTTCTTCTGTCTCTAAATTTGAACATTTTGAATGTGTTTTGGAAAAAGAATCGTTATTGTCCAGTAATGCACAGGACTCTGCAGGCTGCTGCAGCCATTAAGTACACAGTCATTTTCAGTGTAAAGTTTGGTAAGTCATCTATGGAAGTAACCACTGTAGACATCAGTTTTGGGTGCGATCAGAAGAATAATCAATACCTGGTCAGTGACTGATTCCATAAATAGAGGCATTATAAAACAAAGTTTCTCTGTGGAAAGAGGAATTTTCACTTGAATAGTTGCTTCATCTGATACCTTTTTTCCAGTGGTCTGAAGCAGAATGGAGACATTAATCTTGTCTGTTGATTTAGTCTTAGTGGTGATAATTGGTGAAAGGTAAACTGAAGGTAGTTATCTCTGTGACCCACAATCTTCCACTTCAGTTGTCCTTAGGACAGTTTTGGGAAATGCAGGGCCCAGATAGGTTGGATTTAGTCATTCGCTTAAAAGAAATTTAGACATCAAAATCACTGATCATTGGTAGAATTAATAGCAAATAGTAGACTTAAAGGCAGAAAATGGCGAACCCGCTAATTGTCTTGTACCAGATAGTTCTTCTTTTGGCACACCTTTTCTTTATTTGGGCTGCTTAATGTGTTTATAAGTAATGGAATTTACATAAGAAAAGGTCAAGTGTAGCAAGGTTGGTGCTTCTGACACAGCTAAGTTGACCTACTCCTTATCTTCACTCTAGCATGTGTCTTATTGTTTTGGAGGAGTTTTTTGCTTTTTTTAAATGAAACCATAATAGGTGCAATAGAAAAATGAAGAGTTATATTTAAAATCAATGAGCTTTTAGAGATCTTATATCTATTCTTGTCTTTTTATAAATCAGTGACAGCAAAAGGAGAAACAGACTTATTCTTACCTTATTCTGATCTACGATAAATTGAGTAAAACTTTTCACTTTACATTTGGAGAAGGCAAAACTGGATTTTAATTAGTTTCAAATATTGGGCAGGTTAGAGAGTAACCAGCCAATCAAATTATGATCTAGCAAATATAACAAGGAGATGAGAGTGAATAAACTTTCTAAGTAGATTTGCACTTTAAAATTATGAACTGGATGTTGGTGGAAAGTATTCCCAAAAGGCTGGTGTTCCCTGTTCACCTACATGGTGCCATCCTCTAAGTCTACTCAGAACAGCAGCTTTTGAGTTATCTTCCACATGTCTAGATTTTTTAAAATCTGGATATGGGCTCGTGTTATGTGGGCGGGTAGCTCAGTGCTGCTCTGATCAGCAGGGCCCCTGCCTCTGATGTGCTCTTGCCTAGAGGGAGAAACAAAAAGAAACTTGAGTTGGCAGCCGGAGGGACTATAATTAGCCACTGCGTCCTTCAGGTGTTGGTCATGATCACAGGCATCATTCCAGAATCTCTTTTGGCTTTTAGAACCAACACCAAACTGAACATTTTAACATCTGTCAATACTTTGGTAATACTCTTTTATACACAGGAATTTTATAGCATGACTTTATGACTAAACTTATTGTGTGTTAAATTATTTAGAAATGTTGAGTTTCTGAATGTTATTTTGAGACTTGTTTTAAAAATAGTAATAAATGGTATTATTTTATAGAAAAAAAAGACTGTGTTTTTTTCCAACCCACATGATCACTAATTTTAGCTAATGTAGAACAAGTGTCATTCTAAAGATATTGAACCGTCAGGTAGCTACACTGTTTGTGTGTATATATGAAAGATAGCTTAATTTCTTTGGAGTTTTTAACCCATTAATTCACTACCATGTAATAATCAATGTCCTCTTCCATTTTGAAGTGCTCCCAAAGAACATGTACCCAGTGGGCACCATTTCAAATCATGAGGTTCCCTGGGAAGGGCCTTCCAGGAACGGAAAGTTACTACTGCCCTTGACCATTGCTACTCCTCTCCTAACCTCCAGGATGCACATGGAGTCAGAAGAGACTCATAACTGACTCTCCAGCACATCTTAGGGGAGTAGACTGCCCATCTTTCTCCTGCAAAGCAGCTGGTGCATTCAAATCAGGTGCCTTTGAGTTGCGAGTGCAGCTCCTTAGGCCCTCAAATTGAGGAAAACCTGGTCTTAACCAACCCTTTTGATAGACAATAGGGGGAACCAAGCAATGTTAGTAGCATTTACACATTTTGCTAGCATATGCTCCCTGGTATCTTCTAAAGTCTTAATTTTTATCATAAAATCATGGGTGTAGAGTCTGCTGCTTATCCAGAGATCTTCGGTTATGATTATACATTTCTTCTTCCTGTCTTCCCTTAGAAAGCAGAAGCATTTTCTCAGTCTTTAAAGACAAATATTCTCTATTTTTATACCAATGTGTATATATATATGTGTGTATTCTCTAGACATTATACCAAATATATGTGTATATATATTCTCTATATTATGTTGTTGTTGTTAAGTGCTTTTGAGTCGTTGGCGACTCATAGCGACCCAGTGAACAAAAGTCCAGGACACTTGTGTAACTTTCATCCTTTTTCCGCGTTCATACGGTTTCCTATATATTATACCAAGTATATATGTGCTGTTGAGTTGCCCGTGACTCATAGCAACCCTATGTACAGCAGCTCTGAAGCCTGCACTGTCCTGAAACTGTCTCATTTGGTTCTGACACACTACACACACACATACATACACACATACATATGTAGGCAAAAGATGTCTGTGATTCGAACAAGATCTGTTCCCAAAGTGTGTCATTAAGTTCACTTTGTAGGTAAACTGAATCAAGAGCCTATGATTATTTAGCTTTTAGTGCAAGAAAAGGCTCAACGCCCTTGCACTGACTTAGAAACTGTATGTGCAGCAAGTGACGGTGACTGTGGTGAATTTGTTGGCTCCGTCATTTCAATTACCAATGCTGTTCAGTTGGCTCTAACCCCTCACAGCCTCCACTGGGTCTGCAAGGCTGTGTTTACGAGATGGCCATCTTTCTCCCCAGTGGAGCGGCTGACAATTTGCACTCCACCATGCTCTATGTCATCAGCGTTCCTTCATTCACATTTTAAAGTGAAAGCTATTTGTTATGTGCCATCAAGTTGCCTGCGACTCATAGAGACCCAATGTACATTAGCTCTGAACCCTGTTCTCTCCTGAGCCAACCTCATCGTCTCCGACAGACCTAATCCCATTTCTCCAGTCACTGAGTCAACCCATCTCATCCTATGTGATCCTCTCCTGCGCTGGCCCTCCCCACTTCCAAGCATGATATCCCTCTCCAAGGACTGGTCCCTCCTTGCAACATGTCCAAAGTATGTGAGACAGAGCCTAACATTAAAGGGCAAAATGGGGGAACAAGGAAGAGTTGTCCAGTAAGTTGGAGGTTTATAACTCAGACTTCCTGGAATAATGAAAGCCAGAATCCTAGATACTGATCCTCCCTCCTAGGATGCTGTCAACTGCAACTATAAAAAGGTCTGTAGACACGTCTCCTATGTAGCTATGGAAGGCTTCTTACAACACAGGTGAGGAAAAATTAAGAACCCGTATTTCTTTCTAAGAACATTCATGTGTAGAATAGGAATGTGATACATGGTGGCTGGCTGGAAGTGTATAGCGGGGTTGAATACCTGTGATGGCGTGTGATAGGTGGTGTGTGACACCTGTGGTGGGAGAAGAGGGAGTCTCGGATGGGATGCTGGGGGGAAGTGAGAGTCCGTGTGTAGGATGGGAAAGGTGGAAGGAATGAATGCACACCGTTGGAGGGGGAAGGTACAGTTTACAGAGGCAGGAAGGAATGACAAAGTGATACAAGAAATGAGCATACAGAAAAATGTGGTAGAATATTTGCATGTATGTGCATTTCTCAATGAATGGATGATTATGGAGTATGCCTTAAAGTATTTCTGTATATGTGGAAATAAAGCATAATGGACTGTTAACTATTGTTCTCTCCAAAGTTACAGAAAGCATTATGGTCTATTTGATACATGTCCTAATTTAAAAATTAAGACAGGTTAGAGTATCTCAGTACCAGGGCTTGGCTCTCCAGCTGGTTAGGCCTGTGCTGGTCAGGCAGGCAGGCAGCCTGGGAAGATTCTCAGCAGCAGTTTGTGAAGGATACATAGCCCATTGCTGGTTCTGGAGCATAACCCTGCCATCAAGGTTACCTGTGTGCGTCAGCAGTAAACTCTTGCATTAAGCAATGTTGCATGCCCCCTACAATTCCACTGGTTTGCCCCATCTTGTTTATGTGGACTTGAGTTGTCCAGTCGTTGGTGCTAGGTGGGCCAGGCGCCGAGTTCTCATAAAAGGCACACAGACACCAACCACCTTGGGCTGAGTTTCATACATAAATTTCATAGTTTGTTATGTGACTGGTATGATTTCAAAAATCTTGCTAACTGGGAAACAAAACTCAAGTCTCAACTTCATATATTCACAGAAATTTACAAAGGATCCCCACCCCCACTCCCCAAAAGGCCATCTTCAGCTACCGTATCTCTGCAAACATTAAGCCCTGTTTAAGCTCATGATATGAAATGGCTGCTGTAAAATTGGTACACATTTTGCACAAGTGCCCTATTCAGTAAACACAAACGTACTGAAAGTGTAAAAAAGGGGTTAAAAATCATTATCCAATGACCTCTCAACCTCCTATGGAATGTTCCACCATTTGTAACAAATTACTGTTATATGTTTTACTTTCCATTATTTGCCCAGAAGAAATGATCATATTAAATTGCAATTTAAATCCTTATGATACAAAGCTTAAAGATAAATGAGGTTGGCCTTTTTCATGGACAAGAGGGGAAAAAAATCCCAAAGAAAAAGAATATGGAGCATAATTACATGAAACATTTTTATACAAGGGAAGAAACTGGAAGACAATAGAATTTTAAAATATTTTTATTAGTATACATCTATTGGGTTACTTCAAATTCAGAACACTCAAAACTACCAAGAACAAGGAGACCACTATTTCATGGCAAAAATCTGAAATGGGGACATGGATTACAGTAACATTCCCATCAACCTCCCCATGCGATTTCTGGCTGTATTTTGTATAGTGAAAAACTCAAGATTTGCACAGCACTAGAATTACTAGATTTTTTTCTAATACACCACATTGTAGTCTCAGAATACTTTTCAATTAAATGGACCCAAGACTTTAAAGTTGAGAAACAGGAAATTTACATTTTAAAGCTGAATGCCCTAACAGTGCCTAAGAGATTCACATTTCTTTCCATTAACTGGAACCAGGAACAGTGCAAACACAACAGCTATCCACGCGTTTTCACATTTTTACTGAGAATGTCCTTCGAACCATGCCCCGCACTACTATACATCCTCGGAACATGCAAATTTCTCCTCTAATTCCCTCAGCGGGAAGTATCACAGGTTCACTTGTTTTGCACGACGGACGGACGAGAAGGGCACAGGAACAGTTTACACTGGGCACGTGTGTCCAAGCCTTCCCCGGGCACTGCGGCCGGCGGGGGCGCTATAGCGCAGCTGCTCTGGGCGCTCGCTAGCGCGGCTGGAGGACTATTACACAGAATACGCAGGCTTGACTTCTCCCCGCAAAGCACAGAACACGGCTAAGTCTTACTATTCATAACAGACCTATAGGACACAGCAGAGGGACAAGGAAAGCAGCTGGGATCTAGGCTCGCACGAAAGCCTCGCCCTCGCCTCCTGGGCTCAGAAGTGCCCCTCCAGCCCGAGCTGCAGCAGGGCCGCCTCGGCCTCCTCCTCCTCCGCCTTGGCCTCCTCCTCGCGGATCTGCACGAGCAACTGGAAGAGGTTGGGGGCCGTGCCGTCGGCGGCCCCGTTCATCCACAGCTGCCTCCGGATGGCCCCGCTGTGGTTGGCCCCCGCGATGACCTGCTCCAGGCGGGCCTGGTTGACGTTATCTTTATCTATGGCCCCCTTCTCCACCACCTTCTGCAGCAGAGGCTCCAGACGAAGGACATAAGTGGACAGCTTCTCTCCCGGGTTCTGGTAAGTGTTCAGGAACCGAACCTGGGCATCCCTGGAGCTCTCGACGCTCCCAAACACCTGCTCCAGAGCCTTGAGGCACTCGGCGGAGGTTATGGCTGGGTTGTTGGTCTTGAGGATGCGAATGACATCAGCTGCGGGGCCTCGAAGACTCTCCATCAAACGCCGCCTCTTTTCGAGATCAGACACTTGCCAGTCCTCCATGACATCATGAGCGTGGCCGAACCAGTGATCGAAGGACTCCTCCCCAGGCCCGGGGACGTCCCTCCCCGAGAAGAGCGTCAGCTTCTTGTACCATATGGACTCAACAAGGGGCTGAATGACATGATCCACTATATAGTTCAGCATCTCTGCTGGCATTTCTGGGCCTGGGGGTGGAGCGGGGTTCTGAAACCCAAGGACTCGGGCGACATCCTGCACGGTCCACCCCTCTCTTGCTAGGAAGAGGTGCAGCCTCTCTAAAAATTCGGCATCAGAAGTCGGGGGCTTAAAGATCACTTTCCAGACCCCGCCCTTGCCTGGCATCTCCCTGGGGATGGCAGCATAATCAACAGCACCAGTGAACTCTAACAGGGCTGCTTTTGCATTCTCTTCCCTCCAGAACATTCTCCCAAGAACTCGATAGGGCACCTGGGGCATGGCAGCCCGAAGGGTCTCTTCGATTTCAGCCTCATCACAGTTCACTGGGATCCCCCAGACCAGCAGGGCTCTCTGGGAGTTTACATCCATCCCCCTGCACCAGTCTTCCAATAGGGTCATCGCCATTTTTCCTACTTATTAAATGGCACCAATTTCTGCAAATGCGGATTCGACTGTGACTCGCTCGGCTCTAGGGCTCAAAAATACCAGACTCCCCGTCCCACAAAGCCCGAGGGAGGCAAGCTTCCCGCAACCAGTTAACAAATAAATGACAGCGGAGTCCTGCCCGCGCGCCCTTTCTCCCTGCCCCCAAGTACCCCCTTCAGTCAGTGTGCACCTTCTTAGGGTGAAGCCTCGGGGATGCTCAGTCACGCGGCCGCAGCCATATTGCGTCTCCGGGCCGGTTCCGAGGGCCTGGTCTGCACACAGGGGGATGCGTTGCAGCCTCGAGGGCGAGGAGCACCGGCGGAGGGCGACGCGGCCGGAGCGCAGTCGTGGGGCGTGACCGCCTCGGCTCCCAACCTGGGCGCCAGCGGCTGCTCCGGTCACCGCGATAGGGCTTCAGCGGTCCAAACCTGCTCTTCAGGCCGACGATGAGATTCTGTTTAGCAGACGAGGACTCTGATACCCCCGGAGAATGAGACTACCTCAAAGCTGCAGAGCGGTGTATTCGCGGGAGCGGTGACACCCTCCCTCCGTGGGCGGCGTGGACGACCTGGACAGACGACTGAGGACGGAAGGAGCAGAGAAAATTTGGGGAGATGATGCTGGCGGAGGCGAGGACCCGGCCGGAGCACGGCGCGGGGGCTGCGGCCGACTCCCGACTCCGGCGCAGCGAGGCAGCCAGCGTGCGCCCCTGCAGCAAAACCGAGAAGCGGCTGCCGCAGTGCGGAGCGGGGGCGGGCCTCGTGATCCACTGCCGCTGGCCCCGCCTCGGCTCCCGTAGTCATGGCAACCGTGCCCCTGGCGACGCGAAATCCACGTTTCTAAGTGCCCCTGGCGACGCTAAACCCACGTTTCTAAGGCCAGGCTGGCTGATCAAGCGGTTGCCATGGGGTCAGCGAGGGACTCTTAGCACTGATCTCTGATGGTGCATTACCTTTTTTTAGATTTTTAAAACAAAATGGAAAATTGTCTGCTGGGCATCGAGTCTTCAAAAAAGAGAGAGTGGATTTAAGATGATAGTGTTGAAAATGAAAATGCATCCTGACTGATCTACTGGGTGGTGGGTGCTGCATATGAAAATACTCTCCTCCATGGATAACAACAAAACAAAGGTTCTTACCACTGGGCCAATAGACAACCTCATGATAGATGGACAAAGTGTTGAAACTGTTAATGATTTCATCTTTCTTGGATCCATCAACCAACACCCTTGGTACCAGCAGTCAGAAGATCGGGGGATGTATTGCATTGGGCAAGTCCACTAGCCGGAACCTCTTCAAGTGGAGCAATGACGTCAGTATAAAGACTAATGTACGCCTGATTCAGATCATAGTCTTTTCAATCACTAGCTGTGCACCTGAGAGCTGGACAATGAATAAAGATGACGGAAGAATAATTGCTCTTTGAGCTGTGGTGTTGTACAAGAGTATTGATTATCCCATGACTGATAAAAGAACAGATATGTCGTAGAAGAAGTGCAGCCAGACTGCTCCTGGGAGGCAAGGATGGCCAAGCTCCATCCCTCAGACTTTGGACATGTTAGGAGAGGCTATTCCTTGGAAAAGGACATCATGGTTGGAAAAGTGGAAGGTCAATGAAAGAGAGGAAGACCCGTAACGAGATGGATTGACACAGTGACTGCAGCAATGCGCTTACGTGTCAGAAACGATGAAGATGGCACAGGCTGGGGTCACAACTGCACCTAACAACCACATACCCGACCCTGGAGCTCTGGCGGTATAGCAGTAAAGAGCTGTGCTGCCATTCCTAAGACATGGAGTTTGAATCTATCCACAGCAGCTCTGTAGCTGAAAGATAGGCAGTCTCCTCCCATGCAATGTGCTTCCTCTGAAAATCCACCAAGGGTCGGCTACAAGTCAGTTCTGACTCAAAGGTACACTCTGCCACACTCCAGTGAAACGGAAAGGTCAGAAATGTGCCACGTACAGGTTGGTTGTTTTTGTTGTTGTTGTTGTTGTTTTTAATCAGACACTAAGCTTAGATTTTTTTTCTTGTTAAAAATAAATTTCTACTTCGTCATCTTAGTGGAAAGGCAATCACTAGTGTACTGTCCTCTCTGTCCTGGCGTCATAGGCAATAGGCTAGTAAAACAATCCTTATGGTTCAAAACTGTCTAGTGTAAGGGAGCTCTGGTGGCCTAGAGCAGGAAGCTGCGTGCTGCAATCCTGAAGGTGCGTGGTTTGAATCCACCAAATGCTCCACTGTGTGCAGGAGGGGGAAATCTCTCCTCGTGTGCCAGTCAGATCTGATTAGATGGTACACAGCAAGGGGAAGAAAAACCACCAACAAAATGTCCAGTGCAATCCCCTGTAAACAAAGCAAGGCCAATTTATGTCAATTTCAGATGTGAAAATCCTCCCTAAAGAACACAGCATCCCACACTGAATTTTCAAAACCTTATTTAATAAAAGGTTTAAAGATAACAGAGGAACATTCAAAAGTAAATAAGTTACATAGGTACATTACAATCACATCAGCAAGATTTCCTTTAGTGTATTAATATTTTTTTATAAAAAGCACACAAAAAATAAAATCTTCCGTCTGGTCTATCACAACTGTACAGCAAAAAAGGTAGTATTTATATATATATATGTACACTATTTTAATATGTAACAGTCTTTTTAAAAAAGGGGTGCCACAGGCAGCAAACACACAGAAGGCAGTGTCTGATCATTTTTTCTCAAAATAAAAGGAATATACTTATTTATATGCTATTAAAATATTTGTACAATAGTTACAGACTGTCAAGGCTGTTCCTGTGCTCTGTCCCCTTCAACAAGGCCTTCAACTTAGAAACGAATGAGGAAAAGGCAAAAACAGCTGCATTGCTGGTTAGAGGCAAATGTTAACACAGCAAAATGTGAGGAGGACACAGGATTGCTTTATTTAAAAAAACACCAAACGCATACTTCCTGTAAACCTAAGGAGCTAGGCTCGCCAGTCTGGTAATACCGACACAGAAAAGCCCCAGTGAAAACCCACTTAGACAGCTGAGGCTTGTGGATGTGTTGCATTCCTCCTTCATCTTAACATCTGGCACGTGAGAAGAAAGAGTTTAGGTCACTGAGGCAGTTAAATATAGGCGATCCCTTTAGGTATAAGCAGCACACAACCTCTGTGCCAGGGGAGATCTCGCTTAGCACAGCGGGAAGTGGTGCAGCAGCAGAAGGGGGGGGCATGTACCTTCACTGTGAGAGGGGCTGCTGAAGGCATGGAGAACAGTGGGGATGGCACTGTGTCTCCTTGAGTGGGTAAGAGACCTCAGAAAAGGTCCGGAACACAGGCACTAGGTCAGTTTCATGCCCTTAGCTGGGTGCAGATGGAGGCGGAGAGATGGATATGATGACAGAGGGAGGAGGAGAAAGAGGGGGAGGACGTAAAGCTGAAGGTGTCTGCCAGTTAATATCCTAAAAGCCAAGAGCTCTGATCAACCAAGGATGAGCCTAACTGTGTTCACGGGCAGAAAGCACCATTAATGATACACCCACGCCAAGCTTCTATGGCTATACCTACATTACTGGCAGGTCACTTGCCACAATTGCACCTGCCCTCTGCACATTTGCATTTTCACATTGCAGTCTAGATACAAATCCATTCTGGAGCGTGGACCCTTCTAAAAATTCAGTGTCTAGCGGGGAGGCAGCTGAAGGATTAATACGGACAGGTACCATCTTGACTCTCCCCACCTACATTCACCTGGTCTGCTCTCTCTCTCTGTAAACTCAGGACAAGAGAAGCGTGTTCTTATTACAAAAGCTTCCCAAGTACTGGAAGATCCTACTATGGAACAGAGGTTTCTGTTACCACATGTCCATAGAGGCCTGAAATGAAATACGGTTTAAATAGGAGAGGGAAAATACCTAAGCAAGCTTGGGAAACATAAACGGCAAAGCTGTGAAGGCACTCATGTTACACAAATGATTTCATAGAGAGCCGGAATGTGCTGCCCTCCTGCTTCTGGCTGGAGAATATATCAGATTTTTGCAATCTTGGGACTCTGAACTTATTATAGAACTCTACTGGGGGAAAAAATCAACTTGGAAGTTGGCGATCAGGGTTTGTTGTTGTCTAGGAGTCTTGGGGGAGAATATTTTCATTACTCTCATAGTTGGAATACTGTAGAACCACATCAATGCATAAGTGACTGCTGAAAAATACCTGGTAGTGCAGGATTAAAAAGGTAACTAACTGCCTCCTCACTCCCATTTACCAACATGATGCCTTGAGGCTATCCCTGGAGGAGGGGCAAAGAGAAAAAAAAAACACTTTTGGGCTCTTTCCTAGTATGTTGGACTTGTCAGAACTTCTTTCACACAACTAAAGTTGAGTAACAAGATAGAAAAAGAACTCAGCCCTCTTGTGGGACCTGCATGCAAGCGGGCCTCCCAAAACTTCCAAATCTTTCATTTCAGTGACTCCTTTGCCAAATTCCATTTCTTTCAGCCAGAATTCAGACCTGATAAACAAAACAAGAATTCTGGCCCCTTGCCAATCCCTTCAGGCAATTGAAAAGTACAGCAGAAGAGGCAGCAAACAAAAATGTTTGATCTCCCTTGCTCCTGCTAGTAGTCTCTGTGTGGCCTTGGGGACACCCTCCACTCTTCCACGCTCTCTCAGTGTTATTGCTACCATTCCTATGAGAAGGAGCTTGCTTTCAAAGCAACGAGGTGGGAGACCATGGGGCCTTGGGGAGCGGGGTGCTGAGAAGGTGCCTTGTTTGGGAATAAATGCACTTGGGCCTCTGGAAAGCAGGAGACCCCTGGTCCCTGAGAGGATGTTAGAAATTAAATATTAAGAATAAATAAATAGCTCCCAACTGACACAAGTCAAGGAATGAAGGCTCCTTTTTCAATCTAGTTTGGAGACCTTCCCAACCCAAGGAAGGATCCAGAAAAGTCCAGCGTGCAGGATTAGGGGCTAGGCTTCAGCACTGGTAGGGGTGGGACTGGGGGGCAGCTGCAGGTGAGGGGACAGAGGCAGGCCTGGAGCGGCACCAAGGAGGAGCAGGTTGGGCAGCTGGAGACCCTCCCATCCAGCTCTCTTTAGGACCTGCTCTAGGCTAAGCCCCCTTAGCAGCTTCCAGGGATCCAAGGTATTTGGCAAAGATGTGGGAACCAAGAAGAGCCAGGCTCATCCAAAGCTCCCTCAGACTAGCACACAGTCCTGCGGCTGCAGCCTCTGCGGTTCCTGCTCCAGCAGGCTGAGTCCAGTCAGGCCACTGGCCCTTCCCTCCCAGCAGGCTGCAGGCAAGCAGCAAAAGGAAAGGTACCTGTCCATGTTCTCTCCCAAGAGGCACCATGGTGGCCTCTCTGAGGACAGGGCCCCTGGAGCAGTTTAAGTCTGGATGTTGCTGTGCAGGGAGCAGTCACAGGTGCCCCCCATAGTCCTGGTTTCCAGGGTTGGGGCAGGGCTTCGCAGCCTTTGAGACCCTCTGGAGAGGGAGTGATGTTGCAGTGGGGTGAGCTTGTGCTTGGCTCCCCATGGCCGCTTCCAGGAGACCAAGAGGAGGAAGAGGAGGCGGCAAAGAGGAAGGAAGAGGCAGCAGAGGTGTGAGAGGCAGCGGTGGCAGCGACCAGGCTGGCGTCCCTCCAGAGGGGCAGCCTGAGCCTAAGCCCCTTCCAGGCAAGTGTGAGGACAAGTCTCGACAAACAAAACGAATGCAGAGGACTGGGTCCGAATGCTCCTTAACACTGCTCCTGGGGGCTTTATAAATAAAATAAAAGAGCCATTTATTGGACTGTCTGGTTTGCTTTTCAGGGAAAAGTCCGTGTGATTCTCTTCTCACACCCTCTAGAGGCCGTTCTCAGGCTGGGGTGGGGAGGGGAGAAGCAGGGAGCCTGAGGAGAGAGGGGCCAGCCCATCACTCTCACGCTGAGCCCTCCAGTCACTCTCACACTGGGCTCTCAGCCCTTCTCCCCAGCACTGCTCTCCTCCTGCAGGGCCGCCTGGTGCGGGGAGGCTGCAGAAGCAGCGGCAGCAGCGGCAGCGGCAGCGGCCTCCTTCTCTTTCTGTCTCAGAGCTGCAGCCTTCTTCTCCTGCTCCGAGTGGCTCTTCATGTGGGCACTGCGGCTCTTCACCTTGTAAAACACCCTGCAGGAGGGAGCTCAAGTAAGACCTCCCACAGCACCTCCTGCTCCCCATGGACCCCTGGAATTCGGGGTGTGTGTGTGTGTGTGAGAGAGAGAGAGAGAGAGAGAGAGAGAGAAAGAGAGAGAAATGGGGGCTTCCGACAGACCTTCCCAACTTGCTCCACTGCCAAGAACCCAGCTCACCAGGCACTGTCTAGCAGATGGGTTCCTGATTCAGTGCCAGCTGCCCTCCCTTTGAGCTACCACATGATGTCATCCCCCTAGAAACCCACAAAGCCAATCAGAAAACCAGATGCAAACCCTGACTTCTCACAAACCAGACTCCAGCCCTGTATTTCCCTGCCAGGTACCCAGGGTGGACACAAGGTCTGCCCATCTTACCTGCCACACTTTTTACAGGGGAAAGTGTTCTCTTGATTCTGAGTCTTATTAAAGGTCTCTGGTTTTTTCTTCTTCTCTGAAAATGGTAGTGCCCTCCGTGACTTCCCTGGCCCCTCCCTCAGCTTCTCCGAGGCCTGGCCACCAGCAGGCCCAGGGGCATTGGACTCGTGGCTTCGTAGGATGAGGATATCATTGGCCTGAAGAAAATCAAACAAAGACAGTTAAGTGATTAGGGAAAGAGAAGATCTAGATTTCTAGAATCTCAAGGGACAGAGAGCCTTGAAAAGTCACGCATTCCTCCTAAATGGTCCCAGCATCTGCCTGCATCAATGCTTCAGTGACAAGGCATTCACTGCCTTCCTAACAGCCCATTCTGTCCTTGGCCAGCACTGTCACTTAGAAAGTCTTTGGGATAGCAATTCACTAGTGAGTTGGCTCTAGATGTTATGAGGTCTCTTAAATGACGGGGGACACTGGTGTCTCAATTAATGAGTCATATTTATGTTTTCAGTCATTTCGTCCATTCATGCTTCTACTTCACTAGTAAGACTCAGGTCTGTGTGATGTGCCAGATGCTAAGTATTCATGTTATACCGACCATGGACCTCGGGGTTGGGACACCCCAGATGGCCATCTGAAGTGGAAGTTCATGCACTATGCCACAGAGCAAAGCTCTTAGTACCAGAACCCAGCCAAGCTGTCTATAGATATTTGCATGGCTTTCTGTATACAACAAAATTGTTAAAAAACAAAACCAAGTAGATGGATGGTCTTCGACAGACCTCTTCTAACCTCCCCCCCTGGGTGGGAGAACACTGAGATGAGGAGCAGCCCTGACAGGCAGGTCCTGCTTCCTGGCCTGTGATGTGGTGGACAGCACACGGCACTAGAGACCCATGTGATCTCAGGCAAGTCACCTAGTGTCTCTGAATCCCAATTTCTTCCACCTGAAAAACGGGAATTAACGCTTATAGTTGCTGTGAGGACCTAAAGAGATAAAGGCCATGTAACTAGGGTACATAGTGAGGTGCCTTATTTTTACTCCCATTGCTTCAGTTCTGTCTCTGACATTCTCTTCAAAGATGAAGTTATCTTTGGGGTGCCCTCTCCGTGAGTTACAGCCCATTAATGCTTCCCCAATTTTCCTACACATCTTCTGGGTTTTCACGGAGCCTCTTTCCTCCGAACCTCAGATACAAAACAGATGTAATGTGAAAATAAGTGGATGCCGGAGTCAGGCTGCCTATCAGCTAGTTTTATGTCAGCTCTATTATCTTCAGCCTCAATTTTCTAATCTGTTAAATGGGAATAATAACGGTGCCTATCACATAGGGTTGTTATGAAGATGAAATGAGTTAGTAAGTGAACTCCACGCACCTGCGGCCATGATGAGGACGATGATGGTCATTTTGATTACCCCTGCTCTTCCTCTCATACCCCCAGAGGGCCATCTCCAGCTGTCTCCCCAGCCTGGCTTCCTGAGTGGAGTCACACTTACCGACTCATTGGCCTGTAGTGTCTGTGTGGCTTTGACGGCTGCTGCCCGCCGGCTCCGATCTCGCCCTTCTTCCTGCTCCCCTTTCTCTTGGGTCTCTGGCACCTCCTCCTCCCCCTCTTTCCTGGTCTCCTTCACTTCTCTCTTGGGCTCCAGTCTCTCTTCACCTGGGGACTCTCTTCTGGCAGGAGGCACCCTTGGGAACTTCTGGGATGTCTACAGAGGATCGGGGGAGACAGGAACCAGAGCAGTGAGTCTGCAGCTCAGACACATGGCTGTACTGCAGCAGTTCAGAATTATCCAGGGGCTCACTTGGCCTGCCCCACCGCAGCCTGGTGCACACTGCAGGCCCAAGCTGTCTGAAGCCAATCTTTCTGGGACAGAAGACAGAGGCCTGGGAGCCCTCTGGAGGAGACCGAGCACGTGAGATGGAGCCAGGGGCAGAGAGGGAGCATGCTAGTCTGTCACAAACAGGCCATCTCCTCCTGGGCACTCAGGTGACATGCCATTGAACAGACAGGTCTGGTGAATCCACTGGGGAACTATCAGCTCCAGTCTTAGCTATTTCTGTAATAATTCTTTCTGCATCTTTGTCTACTTCTTATCCACAAAGTGGAGCCTAAACTCCTCCTTGTCTTCAAGCAGCATGTCACACCAACTGTGGACATGTCACCCTGAGACGGTGGTGGTGGGTTAAATAACATTCTCTTTTCTGTTCTCTTTCAGTCCTCCTGATTATGCCAAGGAGAGGGTCTCCAGTCGGTCTTAAGTCCTTTACATTTCCCGAGGTTTGCTCATCTTTCTCTTTTACAAAGAGAAGCCAGGCCTCTGCCTCGGAGCCTTGGCAGGTAATAGCATCCAGCTGGAACTTAGCGACACTGGCTGGTTTCCATATGGATTTATTTTTAGCAGGATCTTCTAGTCACGGTAAGCAACACTATGTTTTCTAGCTACAAGTGTGAAATAAAGCTTTCCTTTTGTTCAAATTAAAAAACCAAACCAAACCATGAGTTGATTTTCAAAGAAATTTACAAACATGCAAGGTAACAAAACTGATAAAACACTGGAGAAATTCCCCAATGCTCTGCATTGAACCCAAAGGTCCAGGTCAGTGTCAGAGACATCACCTCCAGCTGGCTGTCAGTGACACCGCTGCCCTTCTGCCCTCCACACTAGGGTCCTGGCTCAGCCTTAGCCCCAGATGCAGCCCAGGCACCAGGCAGCTGAGACTACAAAGGGAATCACCTTAACATCCACTTCCACATCTTCCTGGGCTGACTTCTCGTCGCTTGTATCCACATCCCCGAAGATCAGAGTCCCATTGCGGCCGATTTTCACTTGCTTCTTGTAGGTGTAGTAGAACTCGACACACTGGCCCACAGTCTTGGTCTGGATCTAGTGAGAAGCAGAAACTGTGGTCAGAACCCCTCTGGCTCAGCTCTCCTGCCTCTGGATACATCAGTTTTGCACATTCACCTTTAACCTCAGGCCAAAAGGTAAACCCCCGGGTTTCAGGAAAGACAAATATTTGCCAATTTCTACTCTCCAACAAGCCATTCACTCCATTACCAATGCTTCCACAACACTCCACTGGAACCATTGGAGAAGCCTGAATGTGGATTATGTATGTGTCATTAGACGACATTATCATCAGTTTAAACTCTTTTGGATGTGAGAATGTTACCGTGGCTTTGTAGGAGAACAGCCTTCATTCTAAAGTCTTTAGGGTCAAGTGTCATAATGTTTGTAAATTACTTTTAAAGATTAACTGGCAATGACAGAGACACCCATACTGATAGAGAGAAACAGAGACCAGGAAAATGAGGGACTATGGTAAGTCAGCATTTGGTAAAACGGAGTAAGAGTCAAATAATGCTCACACTTGTCCAGTTTCTCCACATGTAAATTCATTCCATTTTTCTCCTTAAGTTTGAAATTTTTCCAAATGAAAAAAAAGTTTAAGGGGAAAAAGTCTCATTTAAAACAGAGTTCCCTTCATCGCTCCAGATAAATCATCTCATTCCTTTCCAGAGAACTGAGATTGACAAGAGAGACTAGAGAAATGTTAAGTTGTCCTCTGTGTATGTGAAGAATAGAAATTCGCAAAATTCCCTGGAAAGCCCAAGAGGGTGGCAGGAGCCCCAAATCTTGCTCTTAACTCTGTCACTAAGCGGCTGAGTGACCTTAGACTAATCTCACATCTTTGTAAGCTCAGTTTCCCCCACATGCAACTAGTGAGTGGCGTGGCACGAGATGAACTCTAGGGCGTCCCAAGTTCTGAAATCCTATCCTTCCCATTTCATAAATCCATTAGGCCCCTGGCTTAACTGTGGAACACTGTCCCCCACACAGAGGCTGTGTTCTCCAATACCCTTCCTCCCACCAAAGCGCCCAGTCTGGCCAGACACTGCTTGGACTGGCCTTGTTCCTGTCCAGAACCCATAGGGTGAGTGAAGGCTGTCTGGGTCTGAAGAGAAAATAGTCATGTTTCATCTCTCAGGAATGGCCAGGCCACAAATGCATTAATTAGATCTTGGTTACACTTTTACTATCAATCCTCTGTGATCACTTGTTTGCCTGACTAATGGTCTGCACTTTTCATTAACCCATTAGGGGCGCCTCGGTGAACTTGACAGGCATGTTTCTGAGCACACTGCCCAATCAGGGAACAGAGTGTCACCAAAACACAAGGACTCTGCTCATCGCAGGGCTCTGGCACGGAAGCCCAATAGTCATTTGCCCAGTGCCTGTGGAGCTCTCGGACACAATTGCCAACAACAGGGGAGAGAGTCCATTTTGGGGTGTTTGGGGTTTTTTTTTTTGGTGTGGGGTGTGGTTTTTTTTTTTTTTTGGTACTATTAATTTTTGTCATTTTTAACAAATTAATTTTAATGAAAGTTTACAGAGACTTAGGGTTTCCAGTCATTCATTGTTGCACTTTTCTCTCAGTCTACCCCTCCCCCTATTCACTCTTCTTGAAAAGTAAAAGAAAAACTCTTTCATTGTTATGCAATCCCTCCCCCCAAGTCCACTCCACTGTGTAGCCTTCATTCTGGACTCCTCTCATGACAATAATACCTAATCATATATCCCTTTTAAACAGTTCTCTCCCTCCTCTGTTTCAAGGCAGTATACATCATTCCTCCCCTCCTTTTCTGTCTTCCCTCAACCCCAATGTCAGTCCCATTTTATAACAGTGCCCCTATGCAATATTTGTCCTTTTGGGACTGAGCTATTTCACTCAGCATAATGTCTACGGTCATCCACTTTGCATAATATTTCATGAGTTCCTTGTTTTTCAATGCTGCATAGTATTCCATATATCAGAGTTTCTCTATCCATTCATTTGTTGATGGGCCCTTGGGTTGTTTCCAGCTCTTTGCTATTGTGAACAAAGACATGATAAACATAGGAGTGCCTATGGGGGGGGTGGGGTTGTGTTTTGTTTTGTTTTAGGAGAGAGTCCATTTTTACAACCCTCTCCCCTCCAGCAGTCCACATGACAACTCCTCCACAATAGGAAGAAGGCTAGAAAGATAAAATTCCCTTGAATTAGAAAAGCATGCTGCTCTCTTGAAGAGTATAGGGTAAGAAGTTTAGGAATGCTAAGCTTGGGCCTCCTTCACATAATCAATGAAGACATGGAAGGACGTCTTGGTTCTGACAGGAAATGGACTAAGGTTCCTTAGGTAGGCTACACACCAGACATTTGCTGGCTCTCAGTTTTGCTCACCCAAGGGCGACCTCTGATATGAACTGTGGCCTGAGCTCCAGTTCCTTAGGGAATGACTCACCTTGGCCTTATCACCTTTCCCTCTTGGTCTTCCCTGTTTCTGTTAAGGTTTATGGCACTGGATCTGAGGCCCACTCAGGCCGACTCTGGATCTGAGCCTACAGAGAAAGGCTATCTTTCTCTAAGGTGGGCCACCAACCCCTAGAACTAAGGCAGGGAAAACATGCTTTTCAAAAGGAAAGCTTAGCAAGTGACTGAAAGGTCCTCAAGAGCAGCGAGTGCCCCAACGTCTCTGTTTGGCCCCGCAACAGGGTCCCAGCTCACCAGCTTCTGCACTAGGAAGAAATCCTTCTTGTAGATAGAAATGCCCTTGTTGAACAGCTTCTTCTCTGCCATCTTCCACTGGTCAGAACCTGAGGGACAGAGTGACCCACATGTGTGAGATGGACACTACCGTGAGTACTCTACGGGGGCTCACTGTCAACCAGCAGTAAGATCTACTAGGTGATCCATCACCTTTGCAGGCGTCTAGAGCTGGCCCCGGGTCCCACGGCTGCCAATTACTAGCCCCGTCCCTTAGCCTCCTCACTTGTGAAATGGCACTAATAATAGAACCCACCTCACCAGCTGTGGTGAGGACTATGCGAGATGCTTCATGTGAAGCCTCGCCTGGCACAGATGAAATGTCCCCGTCAAATGGGAGCGGCTGCTGTGATTATACAACTTGGTCAATGTCCCTCAGAAAGTATAGTGCCAGAACACGGCGCTCCGGGAGCTGACTTGGTTCCAGGCACTCGAATTGTCAATTTGGATGGGACTCCCTGGCTTTCTTGGGCCTCTCGTGTGCCCACTTCCTTCTGTGTCTCCTTTCAGGGCACAGAAACACCCCCACCCCCACCCCATCCCCCGAGAGCTACCTCACTATTGCTGCCTGATCTGGTCCCGTTTCCCCACCCCATCCATGGCCATGGAAGCTGGGGCCCATTGCTACGGGGTCCGCTGGCAGCCAGGCCTACCTGTGTAGTGATACGTTGCCAGTGGGTGGTTGCGGGGTCGCAAGGGCTTCTTCAATAGCAGCTTATTGAGCGTTTCCTGCAAGGAGAGATGAAGGGGAGGTCAGGGCCCTGGCAGGGCGCCTCAGTGGTGGGCTGAGCACCCAGGCTCAGGGCACAATTCAGAGGGCCTCTGGGGCTTACTCATGACTCCCATAATGGCTCAGGGATAAGAGGCCTAACAGGATGGGGAGGTAACAACGGGTAGGATCTTCCAGAACAGGGTTCAGGGCTGCTTAAGAGGGGAAAACTGGCCCCCAAGTCAGGCAGTCTTGATTAGCTTTATTGTCTAGGGATGGGGAGCTACTGATGTGGAACTGTGGAGGGGAAGACGGGCATAGAAAGAAGGAATTTAGAGTTTGGAACATGGGTTTCCTCAGGTGGAGTCCCTACACCTCTCCCTCTTGGCCAGACCCTCCCCTTAAAGCTAGTATGCCAGGGGATCCACGCCAGCTTCCCTGAGGGTCCCTCCCTCCACCAGGGGTGCCATCTCACCAGGATGTCTCCCCTGGACTCGTGCAGGCAGTGCAGGGCCAGCTCCTGGTTCGTGCCAGCACCTGGGAAAATGCTGGAGCAGGCAGCGGTCAGCAGGTCTTCCACTGGAGTCCCCGGAGCAAGGAGAGAGGACTAGGTTGGCACAGGGCTGGGCCCATCCCATCACCCACCACCTAGGCTGCCTTTGTTGGTGTGCCCCAGCTCACTCCTTACCTTGTCTCTGCTTCTGCCTGTTGCTCTCCAACTCCTCCCACGGCTGCCACACCAAGTCAGCCTTGTGAGGGTCCGCAGCTGCCAGGGAGCGGTCCCTCAGCGTGGGGATTTCCGCCTGGAACCGGGAGCCCACATTGATCCGTCTGCAGGAGTGCAAAGGACAGGGGAGTGAGGCTTCATTTCATGGAGAGAGGGAACCCGACTCTATGCCCAGGGAAGGCAAGGATGCAGGGGGCGGGGAGCTCACAGAGGCAGTGAGCACAGGAAGTCAGGGACTCTGGTTTCAGGGGGACTGTAAGGGGTACGCTGGGACCACACAGCCACAGGGGCTGGAAAGGACAGAAATAGCACCAGAGTTACAGGCTGCAGAACAGACTCTTGGACTTTCCAACTCTTTCCAGACACCCCAAGCTGGTCCTGCCCTTTCCTGGCAACGTGTAGACAGAATCAGGACAGGGACAGTAAAGTCCAGGGCAGACTACAGCAGCCCAGCTTAGCCACCTATGGGCCCCAATGGCCACACTCACACCACGGTCAGGAGGCTGCACTTACGGCTCGATGCTGACTGGGGTGGCCTCTCCCATCACAGACAGGACGGGTGGGGTGACCTCAGCACTGTCTGTGGGACAAAGAGCAAGTTGGTAAATGGCACTCTCCTCCCTCCTTCGACAAAGCACCCCTGACCTTAACTGCTGATGTGGATGTGGACAAGTCACAGGGGTGACTCACAAAGGTTCACACTTCGAAGCCAAGGACTCCCAAGTCCTGCTTTGCAGCCCGCCCAGTGTGGTGATGCAGATAGTTTTTGTGCTCAGTTTGTGAGCGCCTCCGTTTTCTCATCTGCAAAAAGGGACCATTAATATCCAGCTCCCAGGGTTGTGAAGATTGCATGAAATAATGCATAGAGTCTGTAGTGACTATTAGTAGTAACAGGAAGCTCTGGTGGCCTAGTGGGTAAGGAGTTATGCTGCCAACCCAAAAGGCAGGTGGTTCGAATCCACGAGCTGCCCTGAAAGAGAAAGATGGGCAATATTCTCCCATGCAATTTACAGCTTCTGAAAACCCAATGGAGAGTCAGCTGATTCCGACTCAATGGCAGTGAGGAGCTGAGTTACTAGTAGTATTAGTAACAGTGTTGTTGGTGTCATCAAGTCAGCTCTGACGCATGGCAACCTGATGCACAACAGAACAAACCCTGCCTGACCCTGTATCACCCTCACAATGTCGGCTGTGTTTAAGCCCATTGTTGTAGGCACTGTACCGATCCATTTCGCCTCACTGACGGCCTTTCCCTCCTCCCTGACCCTTCCATTTTTTTAAAGTATGATGTCTTTCTCCAGAGATTGGCCCCTTTTGACAACATGCCCAAAGCATGCACGATGAAGTCTCACCATCCTTGCTGCTAAGGGGTACCCTGGTTGCACAACAGCAGTATTATTGAAACTGCTACAGAAGGTCAACAACCGCAGCTTTCAATATGGATTGAAGCTCAATATCAAGAAAAAAATTCTCACCACTGAGCTGACTGGCAGCATCATGATGGATGGTAAAGAGATTGAGATGGTAAACAGCTTTAGTTTGCTTGGCTCCACAATCAACATTCTTGGCACCAGCAGCCAGGAAATTAAGACATACTATGTTGGGAAAGTCTGCTGTCAGAGACCTCTCCAAAGTACTGAAGGGCAATGATGTCAGTCTGGAGACTAAATTGTGCCTGACACATGCCATAGTCTTTGCAATCACTTGCTATGCATCAGAGAGGTGGACAATGACTAGGGACGATAGAGAATTGATGCCTTTGAGCGGTGGTGCTGGAAAAGAGTACAGAATATACTATGGACTGTTAGGAGAATAACAGGCTTGTCCTGGAGAGGTTGCTCCTTGGAAGCAAGGATTCTGAAGCTTCTTCTGACATACTTTGGACATATTGCAGGAAGAGACCTTGGACCTCTCTCTTGGAGAGAGGAGGGTGGAGGGACAGCACAGGAGAGGAAAACCCTGGATGACATGGATTGAGTCAGTGACTAGGGTATTGGGGGTAGGTGTCAGAGACAGTGAAATTGGCACAGGATAGAGCAGGGTTTAGGGCTGTTGTACAAAGGGTCACTATGAGTCGCAGGGGACTTGATGGCACCTAACCACCACCACCATTAAGGCCAAGAGAGGCTTAAACGGCAGGCACACTAAAACAGTTACCCCAGAACTACTTAATGCACCACATGTTCAAGACACACCCTTGCTTACGAAAAGCAGCCTTTGCTGACTTCCCTCTGCACCGTGGGATAAAAGTTCGAAATCCAGCACAGCCTGTAAGGCTCCAATACCCTGCAACTCCAGACCTCTTCCAGCTGGACCCTCCACCATCTGTTGCCTGGACCCTGGATCCTGCTTACCCTTGCAGCTCCTCACTCGGCCTGCAAGCCCACTTCCAAGGCTCCGCATTTCCTCTACCTGGAGGGCTCTCCCAGGACCACCCTCCCGAATGCAAGCTCAGTTTAGCCCCACCTCCTCTGGAATCCCCTCCCCAGCACTCCAGGCAATGGGCCTCTGCAGGCTTCCGCTGGGGCTCCGCCTTGTTCACTGGCTACCAGTTATACAATGTCAGGGTCCTTTGGTCTTCTGTCTGCCTGGTTTTCGAGTTGACTTCTAAAGACCCTGTAGTCTCTTTGGGACAGACCACGGTGTTTCATGCGTTATCAGAGTCTTCACAGGGTCTAGCTGAAAGCTTCACATACAAGCACTCAAGGGCAGACTGACCTTTCCTTTGCTGCCTATTTGGGATCTACAACAAAGACTTCTTCCTGCATAACCCAGACAGCAAGAGAAGCCTCTAGCAGAAATAGGAAAGCCTGTGAGGTACAAGGTCTGCGAGCACAGGGAGAGGCATTTTTCACCCACGGACACCAGGGGGCACCAGAGAGCTATGTTGTAGGTGAGGTCAGGGTCATAGGCTAATCAGGTGATGGAATTGCCTCACCACTGCATTTAATCCTCCCTCTCACCGGAAGGACAGAACTGTGCTGTGCAGACGTCGACAGGGAGGTTTTTCTTTCTTTCTTGTGTGTACCGTTGAATCGGATCCGACTGGCACAGGAGGAGATTGCCCCTCTTTCTCCAGCAGAGCAGTTGGTGGTTTCGAACCACATACCTTCAGCATTGCAGTGCAGCCTCTTGTCATTAGGCTACCAGAGCTCCCCCCCCCCTTTTTTTTAAGCAGGAGTGACATCCACTTCCTAAATAACAGGCTTCCAGAAACCCTATGAACTTTGATAAATGTCGATAGTTGTAGAGGGGCTTCAGGCCTTTTGCTCATAGGGTCGCTATGAGTCATGCTCAAGTTGAAGGCAATCATCAACAACAATTCACCCTAAGAGATAGTATTATTCCATCTTTCAGAGGACATGGATCTCTTTGTGGAATATGCAGTATTTATCAAGAGTGACACCACCATGGCCAGCCCAATCTTTCCAAAATAACGAAAACTGACTAACATGGCTGTTCAAAAGACCCAGAAAACCAGAACAGCCACTTAATATTAAGAGCACAGGTGAAGGGAGCTCTGGTGGCCTAATGGCAAGAAGCTGCACTGCAATCCCAGAGCTGCACGGTTCAAATCCACCAGATGCTTTGCTGGAGAAGGAGGGGTAATCTCCTGTACCAGTCAGATCCGATTTGACAATACACATACAAAAATTAAAAAAAAAAAAAAAAGCACAGGTGATATGTGCTTATCATGCTAAGCACTTTATGTGTACTAATACAGTTGACCTTTGCCACAACTCCATAAAGCAGGCATTAGGTTGAACCACCAAGTATTTGCAAGTTAAAAATGGTTGAATATTGGTAATTTCCTATGGCTCACCCAAATATTAATATTCCCATCATATTAATATTCCCATCTTGGCAAGGGAGCTCTGGTGGCCTGGTGGTAAGGAGCTGCACTGCCAACCTAAAGGCAAGCGGTTCAAATCCACCAGCTGCTCAGCAGGAAAAAGACAGACACTTTCTTCCTGTGCAGTTTACTGCCTCTGAAAATTCACTGGAGGATCAGCTATGGGTCAGTTATGACTCAGCACATAACAATAATGCTGCGTTGTTGTTATGTGACATCAAGTCAACTATGACACATAGCGATCCTATGAACAATGGCTCTGATCCTTGCCCTACCCTAAGCCAACCTCACCATCATTGCCACAGTCCGTGTGTCAATCCATCTCTTCTAGGGTCCCCCTCTCCTGTGCTGATCCTCAACTCCTCCAACCTTGATGTCCTTCTCCAAGGAATCTTGGCAACATGCCCAAAGTTTTGAATAACTCGTACAAGAAATGTAATAGTAAGTAGTGGAACTGGAATCTGAATCCAGGTAGCTGGGCTGACTCATCTTATAATCTTGAACCAGAACACCTCCCTTCTCCCTTCAAGCAGAATCTGTGCTCCAAAACACAGCACCACAGCCTATCAACTGTCCCCTCACTGCCCACACTCCTCCTTTCCCACATCCCCAACCCTTAGAGCCACCAAGGGGTGTCACTTACTAGATCGGAGCAGCGTGCGATGAGCACTCTTTGGCGTGATGGGAGGAGGGGCTGGGATGCTGCTGGCTGATATGATGGCATTGAAGTAGAGGCCTGAGCCTTCCCGCACGGGGCTGAGGATGGGGGGTGGTGTGTAAGGGGGTAGCTCGAAGCTCCGCTCAGAGGGGTGGTCGGCTAGGCGGACAGGAGAGCGCAGGTGGCTCTGGTACGGGGTGATGTTGGAGTAGACAGGTGGGGCGATGAAGGTGCCCGCCTTGGTGGGGATGATCAGGGGCTCAGGTCTGGGCCGCTGCTTTGGCTTCCGCACTGATGGCTCCCCCTCCCCCTTGATGCTCATGTCTTCGGCCTGGTGAAGGAAAAAGAACAAAGAAGGCTCAGCTCTCTGTGCCCAGAAAAACTGAAGTCTTTTGAGGACTGCTAGCTGGTTTCACCTTTGGAGTCTGTTCCACCTGCCACACCCACCACGGTAAGCCTGAATCAAGGTAAGCCTGGGGTAAGGCCCTTATTCTCTCTAGGGCAGGGGTAGACACTAGGTGCTATAGTACACAACCTATCAGACGGCTAACTGTAAAGCCTTTGCCTGGAATCGGTCTCCTCCCTTAAAGATTTACAGCCTTGAAAATCCAGGGGAGGTTCACTATGACTCACATTCAGTGGGTTTGGTTTCAGGGACACGGAAGGGGTAGGAGCCCTGCTGGCGCAGTGGCTTAGTACGTGGCTCCTGAAGGAAACATTGCCTGTGTGAGTCCATCAGCTGCTCCGAAGGAGGAAGATGTCTGCTTCATCTCCCAAACTCTGTATATTGGGTAGGGCAGCTGTAAACTGGAATCAACTCAGGGGCAGTGGTTTTGTTTTGCAATTTTTAAATATAGTCTTTGAAAATGTAAAAACCAATCTTAGTGCTCTGTATTTGAATGCCTGCAGTGAGGTATGTTCTGACATTAGTCAGGGTCTCAGGATCTGGAGCTAGACTTCTTACATTGATATCACCTCCTCTATTTCCACTTTTAACTACTTTTAATAATTAAAGTGCATCATCATATTTAAGGGAACTCTGGTGGCCTAGTGGCAAGAAAGTGTGCTGCAATCCCAAAGGCACAGAGTTCGAATCCACTAGCTGCTCTGCAGAAGGATGGGCACTCTCCTCAACTGCCTCTGAAAACCTGCCAGAAGGTCAGCTATGGGTCTGTTTTGACTTAACAGTACAGCAACAACAGCATTTTTAATATGAGAATAAAAAACTCAAGCTCATTGCTGTCAAGTTGGAATCAACTCAAACCCAACCTTCTGTTGGGTTTCCAAGATGGTAAATTACACAGGAATAGATTACTCATATTTCTTTCTCAGAGCTGCTGGTGCATTCATACCACCAGAGGCACTGCCTTTGGTTAGCAGAGGAAATCCTCATGGACTGTGTCACCAAGCCATTTTACGGGGCAATGCGGTGTACTGGTTCGATGCTTGAAATGGCTTTCCTGGGCCATCACCCTTGGTTTTGCCACCTGGCTGGGTGGAAACATGCAAACAGAATGTGTTAGTCTCTCCAGCAGGGGATTGGCTAGTTTTGCCATTCCACCAAGTTCAAACTGAACAGAGTCAGCAGCAGATTTCTAGAAATCTCACCATGAAATCTCACTAAGAAAAGAATCAGCAAAGAATGCAGCTTGCATCCTACAGGGACCTAGAGGAGAGCAGCAGTAGCCACAGCAGAGAGCCAGAGACCCCAAATAAGGCAGAGCTGACCCAGGACTGCTACCCCCACCGAGCCAGAGCCAGGGAGCCTTTGTCTAACTTTGCTGGAGAACTGAGGAAAGATGCCCTAGTTGGTAGGACTAAGAAAGCTTTGGAACACTGTCCTAAAGCCACAGGCTAAAGGCTGAAAGGCCTGTGAGTGAACTTCAGAAGCTGTCCTGTTGCCACCCTGATTTGCAATCTGTTAATATCCTTAGTAAACACCATAATAGTGAGTATAATCCTGAAAGGTCTGTGTAGCTATTTCAAGAGGTTTCAGACCCAGGGGAACAATAGGATTGGTAAAAGAATTGTAGAAGAGTAGTAGAATTAGTAGAAGTAGATGCGAGAGCGAGGGGGGTCATATCTAACCTCACGGGAATTGGTTTTGTGTGGTGGATGCTGTTGATGGGGGCAGTTCCCCTTTGTGGTATTAGAAGTGGTCAGACTCAGCCTCTCCATGGCTTGCTCTTGTTACACATGGTGTCTTAAGTGAGATTCATTGTAACTGCTCCAGACTCATGAAGTATGGGATCTTTGTTAAAAAAAAAAATAAGAAGTTAGGGGCTTTGGAAGGTCAGCTAAAATATTACTTCTGCTGCTACAAGGAACAAAAGAAAAGCCAAGAAGCTACTTTGGGCTCAAGATGAACAGGAGGAACCCCAGGCTACAGGCATATGAACAGGGTATGTTCAGATGGTACTTAAGGGTAAAGAGAGATGAAACTGGGAATGCTTGTTTTGTTTTTGGTTTTTTTTTTAAATAAATTTTTTTATTTTAATTGTCCTTTTTTTTTTAATTTACAGAGACTTTGGATTTCCATTTATTCATTGTTGCACGTTTCTCCCTTCCTAGTACACAACCCTCTT